AGCTATCATTCTTCCTGGAAAGTAAGCAAAAAAATAGCATATCAAAATACAACTGATAGATGAATCATTCATATATCCCATTTATGCAACATACACTTGATTTTTGTAATAGTGGAATAAAAGCAAATTAGGTAATATTGTTGCACAAAAAATAAGACGATCATATATTTAAAATAAATAAAGGCACCTAAAATTTAGGCTATTTACATTTATGGTACAGGATGTATTTTTAATTGCATCCAAATTAAAACTAAGATGAAAGTAATTAATCCTTTCAACATCGAATTTCATGAGAAACTGAAAGTAATTGTCTTAAAAATGGATAAGTATAATGAAAAACTGAGAAATAAGAAGACACATATAAGTACAACAAAATAATTGGGCAACTATTATAGCTATAAATAAGACATAACTAACAAATTCACAATCACACAAAAAATGTGTCAAAAGTCATGCTTAGTCACAAAGTTACCACAAGAAGGGTCAAGACATAAATAGAAACAAAATGACAGAGAGTTTTCTAAATAAATAAATGTGTTGTAAATTTATATCCCAAATTGATGGATTTTATGTGAACAATATATGGTATCCAAAATACGATTAGCAAAAGCAATAAATGAATAAAATACAAATCAATATTACACAAAATCGAAAAAGAAACTAACACTTAATATTAAAAATAAAATAAATTTATGGGAATTAACCAAAAACACAAACAAACAGCTCAATTATTATGAATTGAATTAAACTTTCTGTTCGTGCATTTTTTTCTATGCACATTGAATCTAAAGATTGAAAACTTGTATCGCGATAATGTTCGAAATTTCCGAAACTAATTACAATAGGTTCGGAAGTTCCGATACTAATTAAAATAGGTTTGGAATTTCCGAGACTACTAAAAGTCTCGAAGTTTATGAAACTGATTGAAATAGGTTCGGAAGTTCAGTGACTAAAAGCGAAATTCCCGAGACTAATCAACATAGGTTCGAAATTTTTGAGACTAAAAATCTTGGAATTTTCGAGACTAACGAAAATAAGTTCGAAAATTTCAAGACTTCTCCTAAACTAATCAAAATAGCTTCGGAAACTTCGAAACTAACAAAAAGTCTCGGAATTTCCAAATCTATTTTAAATAGATTTGGAAATTCCGAGACTAACAAAAATAGATGAGAAAATTTCGAGACTAATTTAATATAATTTCGGATTTTTAAATAGTCTCAAAAATTCCGAGGCGAAAAAATTTAACTGATTTAATATTTATTATATATATATATATATTTATATAGTTTCATAATTGATTCCAAAAGTAATTCTGAAACAAATAACCAATTTTTTCGATAGTGCTAACAATCATTTAAAAAATTGTAATATAATTTTATCATGAAATTGTTATCGGTAACTCTTAATTGTCACAATGTTAAATTTTGCAACAAAGTTTGCAATTATCAATTTCTTTTTTGTTTACTAGAAGGGTCATCTAAAATGTTAGTACTATTTTTTTATATCACCAACAAATTTTTTAGCTACAAATTTTTGTGTCAACTTTAACAAAAAGCTTAGCCAATAATTATAACAAAATAACCTCAAGTCCTGAAAGATATAAAAATCACTTCAAAACGAATTCGAAACTATTAGGCGATTCTTTTTTAGATTTTGGATTGGTTTGATTTTTGTTGAAATATATTTAGATAGCAATATATTATATTTATGATAGTTGTCTAATTTAAGAGATTTGTATGATTCTTGCCTTATTTAAACGATTTGTATATGGTATCAAAGTCAAATTCTCTCCAGATACATTCATGACCCATTATATCTCATATATATTTTTATATTTTATTGATGTATCTGCTTCTATTCACAGTCATGCTGTTATTTTCATGTCGTCTCCATCTCTACTACTCCACTGACAAAGTTTACTTTCGACTTTAACAACATTGAGAGTCCTGTTTTCGACTGTAACTCTATTGAGAGCGAGGGACTCCTGTTTCCGACTTTAGCTCTGTTGTGAGCGAGCGAGTCCTGTTTTCGACTTTAGCTCTGTTGTGAGTGAGCGAGTCTTGTTTCCGACTATAGCTCTGTTGTGAGCGAGTGAATCCTGTTTCCGACTCTAGCTCTATAGGGTGAACGAGTCCTGTTTTCGACTCTAGTTCCATTGTGAGAGAGCGAGTCATGTTTCCAACTCTAACGGTGTTGAGAGTTCTGCTTCTGACTCTAATCCAGTAGATGACTACACTACTTTCAGTCAATCTTGGCAAATTGAAATTCGTTCATGGAAGATCTCAACTATATCTTTTTCAGTCACTTCTCACAAACTCAAGTTTATTCGATCATATCTTGAGTTTGAGGAGGGGTGTTGAAATATATTTAGAAGCAATATATTATATTTATGGTAGTTGTCTTATTTAAGAAATTTGTATGATTCTTGCCTTATTTAGACGATTTGTATATCACTATTAATATGTACGTATTCTCATTATTGAAATAAAAAATTTCAGTTTATTATTCTAACATAGTATCAGAGCCAAATTCTCTCCAGGTACATCCATGACCCGTTATATCTCATATATATTTTTATATTTTATTGATGTATCTGCTTCTATTCACGGTCATCATGTTATTTTCATGTCGTCTCCGTCTCTACTACTCCACTGACAAAGTTTACTTTCGACTCTAACGACGTTGAGAGTCTTGTTTCCGACTCTAACTCTATTGATAGCGAGGGACTCTTGTTTTCGACTCTAGCTCTGTTGTGAGCGAGTGAATCCTGTTTCCGACTCTAGTTCTATAGAGTGAGCGAGTCCTGTTTTCAACTCTAGTTCCGTTGTGAGCGAGCGAGTCATGTTTTCAACTTTAACGGTGTTGAAAGTTTTGCTTCTGACTCTGATCCAGTGAACGACTACACTACTTTCGGTCAATCTTGGCAAATTCAAATTCGTTCGTGAAAAATTTCGAGTATATCTTTTTCGGTCACTTTTGACAAACTTAAGTTTATTCAATCATATCTTGAGTTTGAAGAGGCGTGTTGAAATATATATAGAAGCAATATATTATATTAGGATACAATATTTTAGGATATTTATAATACAACATATATTATATTAGAATACAATATATTTTATCTTATAACATAACATATGTTGCATTATATAAATATATGTTGATCATCCATGTGGTCAAATCAACACCTGCTTACTTGACCGGATTAGCACAGAATCCGCAATCATACTAAAATTCACGTGCAAAGAATAAATAGTTACGGTTTGTTTTTTTGGTGAAAAATACAAATCCCAAAAAATAATATCACACTTATTATTTTTATACTCCCTCCGTCATCCAATTGTGTGTTCATTTGACCGGGCACGGATTTTAAAAAAAATATATAAAAATAGAAATTTTTACTTTTTTTGGTAAAGAAAAGTGGTATTTTTTTACTAAAAATGGAAACAGGAATAAAATTAGATGACAACAAAAAAAAAAAAAAAAAAGGAAAATGAGAATAGATTTGAATGACGAGGGAGTATTAGTTAATACAACTTCCTAAACTTTATATTAAAAAAAATATCATGTCAACCATTTCACTAAACAAACAACCTTTAGATTTTCGCCGGAGTAGTAAAAATTTGAATTTGAATAGTTGTTTAATGTGATATTAATATATATATATTAATATGATTATAAAAATAAAAAATTAATTTTTAGTATTATAAAAAATAAAATAAATATTTAATATAATATTTTCTAAAAAAGTTAATTAAATAGTAAAAAATCTTTAAAAATCTAAAAACTAAATAAATAACACAACATAAGAATTTTAGGAACTGATGAATAAAAGCAGGTAACATCCAAATATTTATAAAGCATTCAATTTCTTACTGTTACGTACGAAATTTAGAATTAGGTTAAAAGCCCAAGGTAAAAAGAAGAATGGGCCTGGCAATAGGGTTGATTGAACTGGCTGAAGGACACCGTGTGGAACTCAAGGAAAATTCAGGACGGAAGGACCTCAGGTCGGTAGGTTCTCAAGACGGAAAGACCTCAGGTCGGAAGGTCTTCAGGTCGGTAGGTCCTCAAGACGGAAAGTCCTCAGGACGGAAGGGCCTCAGGTCGGTAGGTCCTCAAGACGGAAAGACCTCAGGTCGGAAGGTCTTCAGGTCGGTAGGTCCTCAAGACGGAAAGTCCTCAGGACGGAAGGGCCTCAGGTCGGTAGGTCCTCAAGACGGAAAGACCTCAGGTCGGAAGGTCTTCAGGTCGGGAGGTCCTCAAGACGGAAAGTCCTCAGGACGGAAGGGCCTCAGGTCGGTAGGTCCTCAAGACGGAAAGACCTCAGGTCGGAAGGTCTTCAGGTCGGGAGGTCCTCAAGACGGAAAGTCATCAGGACGGAAGGACCTCAGGTCGGTAGGTCCTCAAGATGGAAAGACCTCAGGTCGGAAGGTCTTCAGGTCGGGGAGTCCTCGAGACGGAAAGTCATCAGGATGGGAAGTCCGCAAGTCGGGTAAACCATAGATCGGATAGAAGGCGAAGTCGGGCAGACGCGGAGGTCTGTCAAGAGGAAGGTCGGGCAAGGAAGAGGTACGGACAGACGCGGAGGTCTTCGGTCAAAGACGGAGGGCGGCTGATGCGGAGGTCAGCCCAAGTGAGGTCGGGCGAAGAAGCAGGTCGGGCGAAGGACGAAGTCGGGCCAAAAGGGCGGAAGGTCTGTGGTCGGCTCAAAGAGTGAACTATAGGGATATTTTGGTCTGCTGAGGACGCGTGTCAGCAGGAGAAGGGTTGGAAGACGGTTGGGAAGGAGACGTTGTAACCGTTCGGGTGACGGTTTTTCAGTACGGTTTCCCAGAGAATATTTAAAGGCTTGGATAATCATTTGGCAAGGCATCTTCAATCAACTTCAACAAAGCAAAGTCAGATTTGGGGATCACCACTTTAAATTTCAGTCTTTTATTTTCCAGTTTATTTTCTGTACCATACAGTGTTTAGAGATTCCTAATCTCAGGCACTAATTAATCAAGTTTAAGGATATTTTCTATATCTTTGAATTTTACTTTATTTTTGTTGAAAAACTACATCAACACTTACATTCTGATTCTGCGGTTGTGCTGCATTGAACTGAATTTAATTAATTTGTTGTATCCATTTCAATCACATGCTTACCACTCGAATAATGAACTCTCTAGCTTCCCAGAAATCTTCATCGCTACAATTTTCCGGTGCCGGACAACGTAGGCTCCCGAGCAAGTAGCCGCTGTTGATCGCTCTCTTCAAAATCCGTTGCGCCGTGTCCTTCAACATCCTTTGCATTTAGCTCATCCGGTTTCGCAGCATAAAAATTTTCTGGATCATGCTCAGCTAAACCATCATTCTTCGCTAATTCGATCCTCTCGTGTTCAGTCTCCGCCAATGCATCCATTTTAGCTCGATCTCGATCCCTTGGGTACGCACAATAGAGAAACGAGTAGATTGTGCAACATATCAGCATAGGGATGCCGATTGCAGTGTAGAGTGCCTTCCCGAGCGATGCTGCATTTTCTCTGTCCGTCTCGATGCTCACTTCATCTCTCGAGGTCTTAGGGATCGGCTTGTAGCCGTACACGTGCTGAGTAAGAATTCCAACCACGGGAGGAGCAAACGACGACAATATTGACTCAAATGACTTATCCAGCGCATAAATGCTTGTTCTCGTTCGCTTGGGGACTATCTCTGCAAATATTGGACTGTTTCCACGTTAAAAGAGAGTGTTAGAACGAAAAAAAAAAATCGTAAGATCGTATAAACGCAAAAAAATCGCGCTAATAGGCACACCATAAGCATAAAAAAAAAATACTCACATTGCCATTTACAGATATGCTTATATATGCTTAAATACTTAAGCACGGGTTTTAATAGAAATAAATAATAATTATTTAATTTTTTTCATTTATTATAAAAAAATATAAAAAATGTTTGTATAATTTTACTAAAAAAGAAACACATATATATATATTTTTGTTGGACATGAATCCAAAAATACTTGAACGTGAAGGGAGCTCGAAGACAAACGGCAGAGCCGGAGCCTCCAGGGCGCGGAGCTGTCCAACAACAATGGAGCCGTGGAGCTACTTCAGCAGCAATGGAGGCCGCCCAGCATCAATGGAGCCTCTAGTCCGTGGAGGCCGTCCAGCATCAATGGTGCCTCTAGTCCGTGGAGGTTTCCCAAGAGCAATGGAGCCCGAGTCCGCGAGTTCGATTTTGGTTTGATATTTTGACAAACCGTAATCGGCGGTTTGAATCGTTTGGGCAAGTCTACCCGAAACTGCAGGTGACTTTTAAAACACTAAACAAGAAAGTACGTTTTTTATTCTATTTTTCTGCTTTGAATATATTCTTTTTACCCGAACAGACTCTTTGTAGTACTTTCGGAACTCACACCGACGGAATCGACGAATGGTCTTGGAGCATCCAAATTTTAGGCTTCGAAAATTGGCACGCCCAGTGGGACCAAAGTTGAATTTTACGAAGAACGATGTCGGGGCTTACGTGGGGTTCATTTGTACCGTTGGAAGAAAGATACAGAATTATCACAAAACATCCTATGCTTCAGACCTCAAGGCCGGGGCAGGCGGGAAGCTGAAGTCAAAAGTCCGCAGAAGGATGGAGCCAATAGGCTGCAGAGGGTTGGAGCCACCAGACTGCAATAGGTTGGAGCGAACAGGCTGTGGAGGGCTGGAGCCCTTGGCCGTTGGAGTTTTTAAGAGCAGTGTTGAGCCTCTACGAGAGGCAAGCGAATTTCCAGCATATGGCATGATCTCGTCAGGGTGATTCAGCAAACAACCAATGCGGAATGCACTAACGCCGCCCGGGGGATGTCACGGTCCGTACTAATCTCCAATACATTAGGACTGTCAAAACATTGGGGCAAGTAGGGCAGGCTGCAGAGATGCAACCGCCGCCAACCTTCCATCAGCAGGCATCTGAAGTGCAGCTACTGCCACCAAATCAACAGTAGGCCAAGCCTCTAATAGACGACGATATCATCGCAGATTGCATAAGGAAGATATTTTTTTTTTAAAAAAAAGATTTGAAGAGAAGCCTAGTGCCACTTTGAGCGCTGAATATTCACCTCCAAAGGTTATGGAAGCTCCATACGAAAAAGGAGGATGTAGGGGCAGAGATTCTAGAGGCCATGAAGGCTCTATACAAAAAGGAGACTGTAGGGGCAAAGACTCTAAAGACTATAAGGGCTCCGGAGAAAATGAGTTTCCCGGGACACAAGCTCCAGAGGCCATGGAGGCTCCATATGAAAAAAAGTCTACACGGGCAGAGGCTCCATACAAAAAGGAGCTTGCAAGGGTAGAAGGCCTAGCGACTTCAGGTGAAAAGGGTTTTGTGGAGGCAGAAGCTTTGACCACAAAATTAGAAAATGGAAAGACTTATTCGTATCCGGCATTGGAGCTGACCAAATGGTTTATTCCTATTGCTAATACCATGTCGGCTAAAGGGCCTATGAGAGACGGGCTTGGCACCCAACAGTCAAAGCCTTCGGTTCAAGATTGTCTAGGACTGAAGGCACCCGCTAAAAAGCCGTCTTCATAAGAATGACATTTGGTAAATGATGAAGTTCCAACATAGAGGAGGCAAGACGAAAGACGGTCAAGAGGGAGCCTAATATCGGTGTCACCATCCCAAGCCCGAAAGCCTCATAATTAAAAAAAAAAAAGAAGTATACAAAGGATCCAAGCCGGAGGCCATTGTAGCATATGTGAAAGTTGCCAATGGGAAACGGATTTGGATTGTTATCACGGCTGACCAGATCACCATCATTCCCAAGGCGACACAGTATCCTCCTATCGTGAAAGAGAGCCAAAAATGGATTGCGAATGTGCTGAAGCCTTCCACTAGGGTGCAATAAGAGGGCTCAACAAGACTCAAAAGAGGCGATCTCAAAGAAGAAATTTACAGATTCGTATGGAAGAGGAAAGGTCACATGAATCGTCTCCGAAAGAAAAGCAGATGTAGGAGCCGCCTCAAAAAAAGAAGCAAGCTATGGAGCCGCTTCCGGAAAGAAGGTAGGCTGTGGAGCTGCTAAGAAACCAGACTTTGGAGCCGTTTTCAAAATGAAAGCAAATTATGGAGCCGCTTCCAGAAAGAAAACAGATTGTGGAGCCACTAAGACAAAAGGTTGTGGAGCCGATTTTAGAAAGGCTGCTAGAGAGGAAGAATGGCCATTCGCTTTCAAAGCTCCGGAAGAATTTCAAGAATTAGAGAGAGTTGTTATTGACGAAAAGCTTATCGTCAAATCAAATAATGTGGCGGCTTTGATCAAATTTAAGAGGTTCTGGCTTGGCCAAAACCAACATGTCGAGCCTTTGGGCATTCGGGTCTCGATGAATGGCCATCCGCTTTATCAAGTTCTTGTGGACAACGGAGCCATTGTGAATGTGTTGCCAATTGGGACCCTACGGAAGTTCGGAAAGACTAGTGATGATTTGATTTCTACATCCGTAGAGTCTACCGATTTTTTGGGAAATTCTTACAAACCGGCAGGTATTATCACTTTAAATGTGCAGGTGAGGACGAAGGAAATACCATCAACTTTCGTGGTGATCAATAGTAGGCCATTCTATTCGGTACTCTTGGGATGAGATTGGATTTCACGCATGCGAGTGTGTGCTATCGACACTCCATCAAAGGTTAATGTTTTAGAATGATGAAGTCCAAGAAGTGAAGACCGAGAATGATCATTTTTTGATGAAAGTGACCACAGTTGGTGCGAGCAAATAGCTCAGAGCAAAAGGACATGACCTCAATGAAAGCAATCGTCCAGCCCTTTTGAGGAGGGCATTGTTAGACGTGGGTCCAAAAACACCTGAACATGAAGGAGACTAGAAGACAAAAAGCAGAGCCGGAGCCCCAAGACCGTAGAATTGCCCAACAGCAATGGAGCCGTGGAGCTGCCCCACCAGCAGTGGAGGCCTCCCAGCAGCAATGAAGCCTCCAGTCCATGGAGGCTGTTCAATAACAATGGAGCCCGAAAAATCTGTGGAGGCCTTCCAACAACAATGGAGCCCGAGTCTGTGGAGGCCGCCCAACAACAATGGAGCTTCAGGCCATGAGGCGGCAGTTTGACCCAACTTTACTCCCAAAGACATGGAGGACATAGTTCAAGCCTATGTTTGTCGGTTGGAGAAAGTTGATGAGAAGTTAGGGAGTTTGAAAGAATAACTGCACCACTCTCCTTAAAATTTAGGGGTGGTTGCTTATGTTAGGAGAAATATGGCAAAAGAAAAAACAACACACACGAAATAACATCCAATTTATCCAAATCTAGTGTATTCTTAATCTTTTTCAATAGTTTATCCAACTATGTCCCACTTTATATTGTCTTTTTGTTAATTTAAGTTTAGTTTTATGTTAATTTATAGTTCAAGTAGATTTTAGCTTAAATCTATCGAAATCATCTATCTAGGCTCGAAACTGTGTAGGCTCCACCAATAGAGCCGCTCCCCAATCCGACAACGGACAGGCTCTTTGGAATACTTCCGAAACCCACACCGACGGAATTGACGAACGGTCTTGGAGCATCCAAATTTTAGGCTCCAACAATTTTTTATGATAAACCTAAAAAGAAAAGTGAACATACATTTAGATGATGGAATGAGTAGTAACGATGAGATACCTACTTATTTGTCGCCGGAGCATTCCAAGAAATGAACAATCCCATGACGAAGAACATGAAACCGTGCAAGAACGCCGTGGAAGGATCATCGGGCAAGCCTAGCATTAGAATTGCAGCCAAAGGGATCGCCGAGCCGGAACTTATTTGCGAGAGAATAATCCTCCCCGCGTTAGGCAACCGTTTGGCGAGCACGTCGCCCATCTTTCCCCCAAACAACCCTCCTAGAGATCCCGCAACATTGAACATGGTCCAAATAACCGCGGTTGTCCTATGGGAGAATCCCATGAGCTCCAACCACATTGGCGCAAACGATAATGCTGACCAAGGAAATGATCCCGAGACACCTTGCGCAACAAGTATTTGAAACGAAGGCACTTTTAACACGAGTTTTGCGTCCTTGAATACGTCCTTTAGTTCTTCGCTAAATGATTTGTGCATTGCATTGTCTTTTGTTGCTCTAGAAAATCGAGGGTCATTGGCAAAAAAATAGACAAGGAATCCAATGAGCACGCTTAGAAGAGCGACTAGATGGAAGGCAAGTCGCCAACCAGGGATTCCGAGAAATGAGGTGGAGGCGATAAGGACGGAGATTAGACCTCCGATGATGGACCCGAGGTTTCCGGTGAGCTGTAGCCACCCGAAGGCGGTGCCGCGGTTGCTCTCGTCGGTCGAATCAGCGACTAGAGATTTTATCGCCGGCGTTACTATGGCGAGTCCTATCCCATTTAGGCCACGGGATATTGCTACCTACATGACAAGGAACAAAAAGAAATTGTAGTAATTTTATTTTATAATTAAAATATATTTGAAAATAATAATATTTTGATTTAAATAGTAGATAAAAAGGAATTAAAGTGGAGGTACTACAAGATTTATTAAAAATTTAATAAAAAATTAATTGAGTAAATAAAAAATTAATTATTATTTATAAAAGTAGAAATATTAATATGTAGATAAATAAAACTATCTATTATAAATTGAATATGTATAAATATAACAAAGACCAAACAAAAGAAAAAAAACAAATGACATAATTACCTTTAAATTCACTTTCAGATTCAAATTATTTCAATCAAACGACATTTATATGGAGTTTTGTACTTTTGTTTCAAATTTTTATTATATGTTTATCTTAATTTTTTTTAAAAATATAATATTATTTTTTAAAAAATATTATATTTAAATTAAAAACAAAATTACACTCCAAAATAAGTAAACGAATTGGTTTTCCAAATCTAGCATTCATATATCTGTTTGATGAATTTTTATAATATACACTTACCTGTATAAATTATATATATATAAAACATAAATAATTTAATTAAAACCTGCGCAAAAGTGGAGGAAATGGCGACAAGAAAAGTTGCGCCGGCCCAGAGCAAAGCTCCGGCGGCGATGACTTTGGCGCGGTTGTGGCGGACGGCGAAGTAGGCGGCGAGCGGGTAGCAAGCCGACTGCACGATGGATCTGAACAGCGTGAGCGAGCCGAGCCGGGTTGGGTCGGCGTGGAGCGCCGCGCCGACTTCCTTGTAGACTCCAGGCAGCAGCGACTCGTCGGCGCGCTCCATTATTCCGGCGAGATTAACCAGAACTAAAGTCAACGTCTCCGATCTCATCATGTATCATATAGGTATATGTATTTGTGTGGTGCAAACAAGGCCTTATGTTAATGTACTAGATCTATACCGTACACGGGTCGGGTAGCAGTAGATCTGGATCCATTTGTGTGTTTGTTTGGAGCAGTGAATTTTGAATTGATATTTTAATAATAAAAATTTTAAATTAAAATAATTGTATTTGATATAAATAAATATTGATATAATATATTAAATATAAAAGTAATTTTTAATATAATATAAAAATAAAATATTATATATTTAATTAGATATTTTTGAAAAAAAAAATTGGATAGTAAAATTGAAGGAGAATCCGCACGTTGGGGGAAGGCACCCACCTGTTTTCCACGTTATTCACTATACTTGACATTAATTAACGATACGTGTGTAGTTTTGATTCCAATAAATGTGTGTATATATATATATATATATATATTTATTGTTTAACTAATTCACACTCTCATTATCATTGATGATTTTTTTTCTTTTATTCTCCCGTCTCAATACAATAGTCTTATTTACTATTTTTGTCGATTATAAAACAATAATCTTATTTTCATAAATAATCATATCACCATAAAACTATTCTTACTTTTTCATTTTTATTACACAATTGACACTATTTTTTACACTAATACACTCACAGGGGGCAAAAAATAATTTTATCCATACTTTTTACCAATTACCAATATAATATCAATATTCCTTAAACAACCCAATTAAAACTATAGTTCTGGCATGAAGGGAGTATAAAAGATGATTATTTTATATTTTTGGTAAATTTATTAATGTCAAACATATTTAACAAATATAAATCAATTCAAATGAATTTCTAGAATCCACTCAAAAATTTTTTATTTTTATTTCTTCTTCATTAACAAATATTTTTATTTATCTTTAAAACTCTCAATTCTTTTATGAAATTAATTTAGGATAATAATAAATAAATATATATATATATATATTTGTATTATATACTCCCTCCGTCCTCGTGTATTTTGGGTCTATTACCATTGATACGAAAATTTAGATAAAGTATAATTACTGAGTAATTAACAAATGAATTAGTAGAAATAATTAGTATTTAGTAAAATTAATTATATACTTATTAAGATTAAAATAATTAAATAGTTAATCGAAATTAAAAAAATGATAAAATTTAAAATTTAAAATGTGATTAAAAAATATAATCATATTTCCGAAAAATGAAATGACAAATTATGTGTGACAGACGAAAATAGAAAATAAGAAAAAATTAGGTGGAAATGAAGGAGTAAAATTTTATTCTTTATAAAATGATATTCATGTTATATATATTTTACTGAGATATAACGATAAAAATATTTACACACATATTTTAATTTTTTTAATCGCTAAATAATCAATTCTCAATGTTTAAATAACTAATTTATATTACCTAAATTTTCGTATCCAAATAAAATGGTTCATCTCCACCGAAAAAGGGGAGTATTATTTTAATAAAAATATATTATTAATATTTTTTACATAAAATATGACATTGATCATTTAAATAAATTTGTTCTGAAAAATGTATTTATAATTAATTGTCTAATTTAATTAGTTAGTTTGACTAACTATAGGGTGTGTTTACTTGAAAAATTTTGGGAAATTTTTACTATTCTCAAATTTTCATTTAAAAAATGGATTATTGAGCTAAAATACTTATTTTCACATATTTTTTTAAGCTCGGTTCTTATTTATAACGGATAATTGGACTGACATCCCTATTTTTACAAATTCTTTTGAGTTCAGTCCCTAATTATTATTTGTTTGAGTTCAGTCCCTCATTTTTCATTCTCCTTTATCCCCAATCCCCTATTCATTCAATTCTCTCCCAATCTTTCTAAATTACTGTTAAGACTCGCGCAAAATCAAAGCTATCACTCCGGCTGCCAATTACCCGAAATCTTCAAATCGATCGAGAGCAGTCCGATTGCCCAGTGTCTGTGCTCATGAAAATCTTTCTCCCTGCCTATCTCTCTATTTCAATCTTCACTCCCAAAATCGACTGTTTTTTTTTTTTTTTTTTGCGAAAAATTGGGAGTGAAATTCGCCTAAAATCTTGTGATTGCAAAATCGTCACCTTCGTGTACATCTGATCGTGCTCGGTGGCTGTCGACGGCTATGGAATTCACGAAATTCATTTGCCCTAATTTGCTTGAACCGCCATGAAAGAGGGAAGTGGTTTCAACCTCCGAACAAGACCGTAAAGGCAAGTTGAGAAACATAACAGAGGTAGAATCGCACGATGAAGAGAGAAGCGAGAGAACATTTGCTTTGAATGTAAGTGTAGGAGCTGTCTTCGGGAATGCCACCGCTGCTGTTCGATGAGAGGAAGAAGCTGTTTGGTGCTATTTCGGAGTCGATTGGAGGAGTGCGCTGTTGTCTCCGTGCGTCGCTGTTTGGTCGGAGAAGAAGCTATTGTGATCGAATTGGGCGTTCTCGATTTCATCCGAATTGAATCTCTGCAATACGAACACGAAGTCACTCCAATTCAATTGCGTAATTTCTAATTGTTTTGTTCGTTTGTTTCTTATTTCAAATTTGTTTGTTTAATTGGAATTAACGCATGGTTTTTTGTGTTTTCATTTCCTTAATTCCAAAATTGATTTAGCCTAATTTGTTGTGTTAAATTCATTTCGTTCGGTATTAATATTATTTTGGATTTATTCGAATTTTTCAGTTATGAATTGATTTGTATAATTTTGTATACAAGATATTGTTCAAATAAACTCAAGAATCTGGGATATAAATTTATGGTAACTAATTATCCAAATGGTACAAAGTAAGTGTCAAACTATTGCATTCGTTAGACCCGTACAAAGATTATTATAAACTCTTGCTCTAATTGAAATATATCAAGATCATTTTTAGTCATTGAGTAAATCCATACAAGTATTCACTTTTGGACACTAGGTACACCGTTGGCCAGGAATTGGTACTCTAAGGAAAATGGGAGGTACATTGAAGCCACGCTAGAGTATTTATCTGCTTTACCGAGTTATTGTTTTTTAAAATGCTCATGATTAATTGTTAAGGTGAGTGTCATACACTTTGGTTTACAATGTAAATTTTCAAATATTTTGAATGAAAAGTGTTTGTACTATTGTGTAGAAACTACTCGAAGTTCTAGTAGTATATTACAACTTATCGTTTCAAGTAAGCACTACCTTTACATTGTGTTACTTCAAAAAGTGAATTAAGATTGCAACATGTATTCGTAACAACAATCATGTACCTTACTAAGGAAAAATATTTTTAACTAACTCGTTTATGACTTGTTTTACCATCCATATGTAAAGATTGAATATTTATTGTATATATATGATGGTGTTCCCCCACAACTGTTAGTATGCATTGTTTATATATCTGTTACAATTCAGAGAGTCACGAAAATATTATCATGATTAATTCATTCTTGGTTATCAACATTAAGTGAATATTTTGAATAAATAATTGTCAGTTTTCCAAACACATATTACAAGGGCATATGTACACTTTACTGAAGCATATGACACTATTATTATAAGTATGTAAGATTTGCATCATGGTATGTTGGTATTTGATGCAGGTATATAAGTATGTGCTCCGGGTACAAAAACCGTTATTCAAAGTATGAATGATAGTTATTTAGGTATTATCTGTGTATTAGCATATATCCTTAAGTGTGATCAATTTCAGTCAATTTCTTGATGGAGAAGGCAATTAACAGGCTTGGTGAGAGCATTTTCTCTATTGGTCCTGCTGGAAAAGTTTGTGCATGATACATTTACATTCAACAACTCATACTATATTTTTCAATTGCAAGACCATAGAGTATGTAGCGCTATTCGTATTTTTTTTATGTGTCATTTGTAGCATCCATCTTCCATTTTATGCTATGCATAAAGTTGTTAAAACAAATGAATATTAATTCTCCACTTCGAAACAGTGTGTATAAGACGAATGATAACCACTAACATAATCAATTATAACATTTAGTCTAATACATTCTAATGTCTAAAAACTTTTTCATTGAATTCTCTTAAATATGTACTATTTGATTTAATAATCTCTAGAAATGGATGAGAATACTACCATGTTAAATTTATCCTCAGTTACCACTAACAATGGTGTGTATGATACCCAAAATTATCGATTTATCATGTAGTAGTTTCTTGGGCATATATATTCGTTACTAAAGCATATGACACCATTATTATAGGTATGGACGAGATGCGCTCGGGTCTGTTCGTATTTGATGCAAGTATGTAAGTATGTACACCGAGTATAAACACTGACATTCAAAGTATGCATGATGGTTGCTTAGGTATTATGTGTAGTAGCAGATATCCTTGAGTGTTATCGATTATAGTCAATCCCTGACCGAGGAAGCAATTAAGAAATTCAGTGAGAGCACTTATTCTATTAGCCCCGGTGGAAACATTCGTGTGCAGGCTAGCACTCGCCATACTCACGGCCTATTTTATATATTTTGTTATTTATAAGTATTTATATCATTATGAAAAAATATGATTATGTATTTTAAATACATATATATTTAATATATATTGTATAATAATTAAATTAAATTTTATGATACTAAATTTAGAAAAAAAATTAATATTAAATTAAATAATATATATCACAAATATACTCTATTCGTCTCATATCTATTTATCCATTAACTTTTTGCATAGAATTTTAGAAATATTAGTATTATATTGAGATGTAGTAGAAATAAAAGTAAAAAGACTAAACTACCTTTATTAGTATTGTATGATATAAAGATAATGACATTTGTATAATATATTGCGAATTAGAAGGATATTTGTAATGTTAGGTAGATAGTACAATTACTAAAAAAGAAAATGAATATATTGTTAAGGAACGGATCAAAATGAAAAAATGGATAAATTGGTAAGGACCGGAGGGAGTATATTTTTTTGGAATTAATAAAATGATTTCGAACAAATAAATTTATATTTATATTACACAATTTATTAAATACTTTGTCTCTCCCGGCTAATTATGCATTT